GTGACTGGCTCCAAGTCACCCAGCTGGCTCCATGACTGAATGGGGACTAGAACCCAGATCACCCAAGTCCCAGTCCTATGCTCTTAACCCCTATACCACACTGGATCTCAGGGAACGTCAGTTTGTAACTAAATAAACTAGATAGACTAGAAGTTTAGTTTATAAACTAGATTTAGTGTAGCCAGCAAGGGCCAATCCATGGCAAGTATTCTGAATGGCCATATCTCAATAACCATCCTTCTAGTATTAAAAAAAATGCACTAGTTACTCATTTTCATTCTCTTTTAGGGGGAGTTGAAGATCTAAGACAAGGGCATGCTTAAATGCAGTTGTGCTATTTTCATAGTGTATACACATACCCAAACATAGCCAAAAATTATGCTAGTGTAAAACCAACAGCTTACCTTATGGGGGACAAATCATTTACTTACACTGCAAAACAGAGCAACCTAAAATAAACTGGAGTGAATAATGAGCATATTAAGTAGCAGGGCCCTCTTATACTAAATGGTTTATCCCTAGCCATATGTAACAATCATACAGTGCAGTCCTGTATATGTCTACTCAGAAGTATTGCCCTGCAGAGTTCAGAGGGGCATACCCAATGTATGTATAGGGCGTATAGGAATGTAGCCATGTATAAAGGGGAACAGAATGGCTTCTATTCTGGGATGTGGTGAGACATCATAACTTATTATCTCTTGACTCTTGGACTATTTTGAAGTATAACTCTTTAATAATTTTATGATTTGCACACCACAGTTTTTTTTATAAACTGCAGCTGATACCAGAAGAAAATGTTATTTACAATTAATGTTTTGATTAGAAAATTACAGCTGTACAGGAAGAAAGTGGTGCTAAGCTGATATTTCAGAGAAAACATATTTCTTTTCCTCACAGCTCCAAAACTTTCTCCGACTATGCTCCACCACTTTTTTTTCTGACAGTCCCCACTTCTTTTGCCTCAATGATGTGCTATGATGTCAGGTCCAGGCCATTGAGAAAAATGCAAACTGGTGGCCAAACTGTCAACCCATTGCTGCTGCTTCCACTTAAACTGGCAGCACAAAAAGTTTTAGGAAAGAAGCTGCATGATGGTCTCTGCTAATGGCAAGTTTTACCTCCAAAATGCCATCAGAGAATTTCTCCACCTGCACTGTAGTTCTCTCAGTTGCTCTGACCACAAAAAGGGTGGAGAAATTTGAGAGGCTTTTGAATGCATTTCCAAAAGAAAGAGACACAGTCCCAAAATGCAGGAAACAAGTATGAGAGCCAGTTGGTGTAGTGGTTAAGAGTACATGACTGGGACTTGGGCAATCTGGGTTCTAAACCCCACTTGGCCATGGAGTTAACTGGGTGACTTTGGGCCAGTCACAAACTCTCAGCCCCACCAACCTCACAGGGGTAAGATTGAGAGCAGCAGGAGGAGAATGAGGTAAGCCACTTTGCATTTGTTGTAAGGAAAAAGCAGGATATAAATCTAATAGAATAAATCTAATAAACAGTTACCATGAGCTTCCAGTTTCAGAAGTAATAGGAAAGAATGTGTTTGGCAATCTAATTTACACAAAAGTGTTAATCAGCTATATGTTGGCTTGGCCCAAATAAAAGTGAAACAGGATTTTCTTTCATTTTAAAATTGAGATTTGTCCAAGCAGAGACCTTCTTAACTTGAACAATTCTAATATCCAGATTATTCACACCTGAATTAGCATAAAGTTTCCTTTTTGAGTTCACCATCATTTCAAATATGTACTTCATAAAATATAGCCCTGACTTCTGATTTGGCCCTCTCTGATCCCTGAAATCATACCCTTGCTTTAAGACAAATTGCAACATTTATACTTATGTTCTTTAACATATTGTGGATAATAACTTTGTAACAATCCTAAATTGTTGTGGATTATAATTTAATCTTAGTATTAGAATTAAAATTTCTGCCCGAAATGTATATTTGAGATCTAGAATACTTGTAGGAACAATGCAATTTTGGGGCTACAAACCAATGTGAGGTCACATTTCCAAAAGTTCTGATTTGCAGGAGAAAAGTGAGTTTCAGTGCTATTGCAAACTAGCCTTGACCATCAGCTGTAAATATCCAGTCTTCCCATGGTGACAACCTGGGTGTGTCACTTCCACCACAGAGATGTTGCCATGCATGGCACTGATGTCAAATAATGTAGATGCAAGATTTGCATTATCTGATGCCTCTCTTTAATAAGAGAGTATCATGCAAATTTGGCATAACATGCGATGCTTGCTCCAGGGTGGGAGAGATGAACTCACTCCTAACCAAAGACTGCTTTGCCTGGATAATCGCCTGAATTGCTTCTGCCTCTTCTCTCTACATCAAGACTGAATCCTTAAATCCTGTTGGGTTTAGGGATGGGGAAAACTCATTTGATTCATATATTTAATACAAACTTACATTACTTGGCACTTCCAGACAAATAAGAGTTGAAGTGCAGTTGTCTTTCAACATTTATGTTTCTCTGAATTTTGCAATGGATCAAATAAGATATACAAAACATGTTTATTTGGGGAAAAGTGCACAAATATGTATATAGTAGTGAAAAAATGTTAAAAAATGCATCATATTAGGAGATGCATGTTGGGCAAAATTGCTTGCAAAATGCAAATATTAGGAGAAATGCGTGCGTGTGTGCGTGCGCGCACACACACACACGCATATATAGATTTTCATGGAAATGTTTCCTCTCTAAGTTTGGGACACCCAAACGTAAGACTGAAAAATGAGAAAATAAGAAAGACCAAAATGGTCAGATTTGCCCATCCCTAGTTGTGTTATCAATACATCTGATGACAGCTAGAGCTTCACTGAGACTTATGGAAAAGTGTTTCACTGCATTAAAAAGCTTCCCAAAAGAATTTAACTGTATGTCTCCCCTTGACTAGGGAAGCTGTTAGGTTATAAAGCTATTGCTGCAGCTGAATCAGAGAAAAGTTATCATGGCCTTCTCACTGAGAGAGTTGCTTTCTAATCCTCTTCTGAACAATGCTTCTCTGTTTTGCCTCTAATATCGTTTTAAATATCTGGATAAATAAATATAAAGAGCTGAAATAGCTATTTCCTAGCTTGTGCTTGTGCATGAGCACTGTAGCTTGTGCTTGGAGAGTGTTTTGTGGATATGCTTACTTTCAATTCTCTCAAGGAACTTGACGAAATTAAAGGCCCTGACATTGAAGAGAAAATTGAATACACATAGCTGCACATCAGATATGATTGAATTAACTGTACAGCTCCCACACCCACCAATCTGTGAAGCTAATAGCTATGTATGTAGTGGTTTCCCAAAGTTACATATGGAAGAGATGTTTGTACACACACTGTGCACAATTGTGCAGTTGTAGATATTAGGAATATAGTCCATGGCAAGTTTCATGGATAACCACATCACCACCACCAACAGGAAAAGGTTAGCCGCATAGAATGTGGCCATCCAGAGAAGCTAGTAAAATGCTTCTTTTCTGTTGTAAAGCTAGCAATATAGGAACATCACATCCAAAGGGGATCTTGTGAAGGGAAGATTCACAGGTTCAAACTGAATAGTAGTTCAAGTAGTTTTGCTGCACAATTTCCCATTCCAGTGTAGTCAGCCTGTTGTTCCAGCTGAACAGGGAACATTACTGTGCATTTCAGCTGGCTGTGTGCTGCTTACCTGAAGCTGCTCTTGGAATGCTAGGCCCAAGTATGATAACTGAGAGCCAACTTAAACAAGGTGGCAGGTGTGTGCAAAGTTCCATGTATTTAAAGAGGCCTTACTCTGTGCCTAAGCCAATATTTGCATATAAAAGAGCCTATGACCAAGAAGGAAGGCTCAATACAGAACCAAAAAGGAAAGGCACTAAATGCAACAAGCAAGCACACTTCTGTTTTCAGAAGTGCCAAATGATTTTTTTAAAATCTAGGTCCAATATGTTTTGCAAACAATGGATTGTGTTAAATGTTAATTCTATTCAGAGCCAGCTCCAAGGTTTTAAGGGCTCTTGGTGGAAACCCCTAAAAAACCCCACCCCTCAGTGGGCCTCTCCCTCAGCAAATCTTCCTTTCCACCACAAGTTTCACTAGCCACTTTTGCTTATCCTTTTTGTCATCATTGCTACCATTTGCTTGTTGAATATGCAGAAAGCCAGTCAGTCGTGGAATCCACTGCTCCTTCTCACCACCTTCGCTGTTGGGGCCAGAGTGAGAGGAGGGTAAACAAATTCCAATGGAGAAGAAGAAGAGCAACACCAGGGCTTTCACAGTGGGATCCTGCTGGGATGTGAGCCTTTGACAGTTGCCCCACCATGCCTACCTTTGAAGGCCCTGGTCCTACTCAGAGTAGAATTATAGGTGAAACTCACATTGGGCATGACTATGTAGTCCTTGATGCATTCCTGAGAGAGTCAGTGAGTTTACCATTGCAGGTGGCTGTTTACTCTCAAGAAGCTAATAGAGTCCCTGAAATGATAGGACTGAATAATTTGTGTGTGTGACGCTTCTGGAGATAGTTTCTCAGCAGCTTATTTGTTCCAAGAAGGATGGCTAGCATGCAACAACTGCACGTCAGGACTGCAATGTGGATTAAGAAGTACGTAGAGTCTTGCCCAGACAAGTGTTTTTTCCATGCTCGGGGTCTCATGATGGTTGGCCTTTGCATTTATACCCAATGTCAGTGGCAGCAAATAAAACTTAGCGGAGAATACAAAGTGAGGCAGTATGCAGTGATCCTTCTGCAAGCTAGCGTTAGCAAAGCATCACAATTTTTTTTCAGTTGCACAGCCTCTGGTGTGAGTGCACTTGCACAAATGTTACATTGGTTAGATTCTCAGTTTGTACTAGTGCAACCTAGTTCCCACTGGTAGAATGATTCAGTCACTTGCAGCCCCTCTTGTTTTAACAGGCAGTGCCCTTGATGCTAGTTCATTAAAAAAGAAAATGAAGTGTTTTTCAGCACTAATTGGTTGCCCCCATATCTATCTTTTTCACATTTTAGGTCCTGCCAAGAAAATGCTGCATTTTGAGATTTCAAAGGAAGGCAGTGAACTCTCAGTTGTGGCCCAAGCTGACGTGTGGCTCTTTCTCAAAGTTTCTAAAGCCAATCGGAGCAGGACAAAAGTGACCATCCGCCTATATCAGCAGCAGAAATTGCCAAAGCGCAACTCGCAAGGTGTGGAGGAGGAAGCAGGTCTGAAGGGAGAGAGAGGTGAAATTCTCATCTCTGAAAAGGCAGTGGACACTCGTAAAAGTACCTGGCACATTTTCCCAGTTTCTAGCAGCGTTCAACGACTCCTAGACCAAGGCAAGAATTCCCTTGATGTGCGGATTGCTTGTGATCAGTGTCAGGAAACTGGGGCCAGTCTGGTGTTGCTGGGGAAGAGGAAAAAAAAAGAAGACGATGTGGAAGGCAAGGAAAAGGAAGGGAGCGAAAGCACCGGAGAAGAAGAGAAAGAGCAATCCCACAGGCCTTTCCTGATGATGCTTGCCAGACATTCGGAAGATCGCCAGCACAGGCGGAGGAGGCGAGGTCTTGAGTGTGATGGCAAAGTCAACATATGCTGCAAGAAGCACTTCTTTGTCAGCTTCAAAGACATTGGCTGGAATGACTGGATCATTGCCCCTCCAGGCTACCACGCCAACTACTGCGAAGGTGACTGCCCCAGCCACATTGCGGGTACATCCGGCTCAACCCTCTCTTTCCACTCCACAGTTATCAACCACTACCGCATGAGAGGCCACAGTCCATTCTCCAACCTCAAGTCTTGCTGTGTGCCAACCAAGCTGCGGCCCATGTCCATGCTCTACTACGACGATGGGCAGAATATCATCAAAAAGGACATCCAGAATATGATTGTGGAGGAATGTGGGTGCTCATAGGTTTGTGTGCAAGTGCGTGCACATGCACCTGTTGCACCCCTGCCCCCCAGGGGTTGGGACTGCCTTTCCGCCAATTCCAAGAAGACAATTTAAAACAAGAGGAGAAACCCAGTGAGTTCAGGCTTTCCGAACAGAATCATCCCATTTCTTACAGGAAAGCATCCCATGTTCAGATCAGAGACAAACAAAGGAAAGGAGAACAGCAGTGTTCACCAGGGCTTGGATGACAAACATTCAAATGGCGTGGGCATGGGTGGTTCCTATCCTATATGCTCCATATTTTATTACATAGTATTTTCACACTTTTCAACAACGAGGGGAGGTACGTTTCTCTCCTCTACGTTACCTATGCATTCAAGTCCTTACAGCAGTTCACCTAAAATGCAGCAATCTGGATGCTAAGTCAAAATGGTATTAAAAGTCCTAGAGAAGCCATGTGTATGAACGCTACATTCACTGGCACTTTTGCTCCCACTGATTTACCAAGGACACAGTGAGTGTGCGCTTACATGTGTGTGTGAGTGCGTGCAGATTTCTTATGGCATATGCACGCATAAAGCACACTTGTGTATATATATATTGGTAAAGGGGACAATAATGCGTAGGTGTACTCACCTTTATCTTCTGCACTATTTTTACAAATAAAACATTTTTTTAAAAAAAATATAAAGAAAGAAAGAAAGAAAATACAAAGTTACATTTCGTAAAGGTGCTTATGACATTAGAACTATGCAACCAAGTTGGTTTGAAACTGTTTACCTGAGAGATAAAGAAAGAAAGAAAAATACCCAGACGTAAATGGAAGTAACATGTTTAATTTTTGCTTCAATGAGAGATACTTGAAAGGAACATGTTTGTCCAGCTACTGGAGCCAAACATTTCTATATTTTGTAAAAAAAAAAGAGAGAAAAAAAGAGATTTTTAAAAAATTGTTTACTATTTGCACTACAAACAATGTTCAACCTGTCTAATCCTTATTTAACAAGTATTTTTTGAGGGGGGAGGGGTTATGGTTAGGGGTGGAAGGGAGTCGAGAGCTGCACTTATTGTGAGCTATACAAGAACTGCTACAGCACACAAAAATAGTTATTTTTATTATAATAATTATTTTATACCTTTAAAATAATAGATGTGTACACCAAAGACACTTGTGTGAGCCTCTAAACAGTCTGTTTTTAGCTAGGTTAGGTTCATAGGTTAGGATCTGGCTTAAAGGTCACCAGCAAGGTTGGTTGTGTTTAGAATGACATAGATGATTTCTAGATGAACCTGTTTGGCAACCTAAACACAAAACCGAACTCCGCATTTGGCTATGGATTTCAAACACTACTAAACCACTCCTCCCCAGTCTGGTGCCCTCTAGAGGGTTTGGACTTCAATTCCCATCAGCTCTACCCATCATAACTAATGGTCAGGAATTCAGGGATTTGTGGTCTAAAACATCTGGAACCCAGCAGGTTGGGGGAATGCTACCCTATATTGTCAAGGGTGTTTTGAATTAAGGTTCTATTTAAGGCCCAAGAATACTTTAGTTGTCAATCCTTCATATGTACAGCAGCTGTACACTGTTGGAAAACAACTTCCTGTAAAGGGGAATCTATATTTGTATATGTATGTATATATACAGTTTAAGCACTTCAGGCTACACTTTTAATGTTCTTAAAAACAATGAATGTGTGTGTGCCAAGCACAGTATATTAAATGTCTTTTTTCCCAGTGGAGGAAACCTATTTAAAAACATACCACTCAATATGAAAGGAATACGATCTTCAGCATAAACATGGAATAGTCTGGCCCAAATCCAGCTTTGCACCCTTCTCCAACCCTGCATCCAACGATCACCACAGCTGTATGTCCAGTATCTCTCAGGTAGCTTAAATCTATTATGTTGTTGTTAATACAAGCTGTATAGAGAAAGTGCATGAACCCTGATGATTGTGCACATTCATTTGAAGCTGTGGAGAATGTGCACAAATTGACTGTGTCAATAAGAGATGTTACGCATTGCCCAGTCAACATGCATAGTTTCCAAAATGGAGCGCACACAGACAATGTCAATCTGGAACTGTGCACATTGTCTTGTCAATGTATGTATTCTTCCCGTGGGGGCTAGGCTGTTGCCCAGGCAATGCCCAATATTTACATGCAGCTATGAATATTAATTGGACAAGGTATGACAAGTCTTTGATCAGTCCACATTTCCTAGTACCTATTGCTGATTGCCGGAACGGAGTGAGCAATATGTGAAATGTCCATGCTGTCAGCTGGTGCACATTCTCCACGTGGACATGAAGAATTGCTTGCATTTGTGCATATTTGCAAGTCAACTTGCATGCACCCTAGCCTGTGAGTATATAAAATGGTTAGATTGAAAAGGAATTCAAAAGGCAGTTAGTGCTGTAGCTTCTTGAGGCAGTGGGAGATTGGTTTATTTGTAACTCGTCAATCTGGAATCCTGAGCCTGGCAGTATAGCTCAGATGGACTTTTGTGTTAGTTAAGATGTTAAGTCCCTAATACAGCAAGTGTTTCTTTCATATGGGAGGCTATAAGCAAAATGTATCACCTCTGAGGGCTTTAGATAATGCTATGTTGGTAAGTTTGACTTATACAGGAAAAGCTGTGCAGCAGCTGACTCCCATGCAGTTGATGGGATGAGCTTAGGGGGCCTTCAGGCTAGAGAAGCATTAATGTTCTCCCTGCTTCTGGCAGAAGTCAAACCAATCAATTTTATGGCACAGCTAGGCCCTGTCAGTATTCATGGGGTAGCATGGTAGCACCTTGAGGGCAAGAAGGATAGCAAATCCATTTAGTCGGTGCCTTTTGCTTTCCTTCTCCATCTTCTTTTGGTCAGCCAGATCTCAGACGCCGTGATCCAAAGAGGATCGTATGTGTGCAGGAACTTTTTTCTGCATATAAATCGTCAGGATGCCAGTGTGGAAGTCCGCTGAGGGTGGGGGAAAGAGAGGGTCTGCCCTCCACACTTGACATGTGGAAATCACAGAGAGCGATAACTGTGCAAGTTGGAATAGTCAAGGCCATTCCTGACAATGTGAATCACCTGCCAGGTGGGGAGAATCAAGTAAACACCCTTTTACCTCCCATACATCTGTCATCACGGAACAGCCATTGTCAAAGGTGGTAAAGAGGCCGGGCAGGAGTTTTCTGTGGATGCAACACTAATTGTGCCACTTTATGCACTTGTGGTTCCCTTAGTCAGGGTCATAGTCTGCCATGCTTCTGGGTGCATTTGAGCGCATGTATGTCAAACTGAGATAACAAAATAAAGGGAAAAAGAAAAGAAAGTTTTCCACTGTTCAGTAAATAGCAAAGCACTTGCTTACAGACAAATCTAATGTAGTCCACAGTATCCAGCCTGCACAGTGCCATTTTGAATTTATGTAGGGTTTTAAACACCACTTCCTCTTCCCCTCCTCCTCTTCTTTTTACAGTTTGCCAAACAAAACAATTCCCTGTTAGAATTGTTGTTATAATTGGATTACATAATATGTATTCCATAGGCTATCCTGGCTTTCAGATTTAAATTATTCACAAAAAGTTAAAAAGAAATCAGAAAGATACTCATGTAAGAAGCTCCAAGGACTCTGATCTAGTTAACAGCACATTCTGCATGTGTCTACCCAAAAGCAGGTCCCATTGGGTTCAGTGGTCTTTACTTAGAGGTAACTGGGTATAGGATAGCATCCTTAATATGCATTTGAGTAACAAGGGCTCTTTTGTGAACAGAAGATCAGATTGGAGGGTAAAAGGATGTAGATGTTGGCCAATGTTGTGCAAATTGTAAATGCTAGTGCACTGGGTTTGTGTGTGGGAAAACCGGGTTCTGTTCCTACCCATCTTGTCTTAGGCAAGTCACTATCTCTCAGCCAAACCTACCTCACAGGGTGGGTGTTCGGTTAAATGAAATAAGTAGCATAAAATGCCATTGTAGAAGTAACGATGAATAACATCCATAAGGCCACATCCAGTACTAACAAACCACTCCTTTACTAATTAATCACATGCTTATCCCCGTCTCATTGTCACGGACAACAGCATCGACAATTTCATGCTAGCAAAACCATATTTATATTAATTCTGTTTAAAAGATATATGGGAAGATCCAGTTCTGCTCAGTTCACAGCGAACAGCTCCATCCATCTTCCCTTGCTATTCACTGGGTTTGCGAACCAGAGATCTGTATCTCTGAGTTCTTCATTCAGACTAGTCTGATCTATTTATCTGTAATTGTCAAATGGATGGGAAAAATACTAGTTTAGATGTGGTGGATGATTTTATGATAAACACATTGGAAAGAGTGGGAGGTACATAAATTAGCAAGCAACTGTTTCTCATCCCTATCCAGTAGCATACAGACATATGTATGCCCCTGTTTCTAACTCTCTCGTTCTTCATTTTCTACAGTCAGTCAGAGGCTTTTCATTTGTAGTTATTCAAAGCAGAGGGAGGTGAAAAAGCACATGAATCAACAAAATATGACATTGGTACATTAACTAAGACTGACTGTAGTCTCAGTACAAGAACAACAGCACAAAAAGGGAAGATAATTAGTTTTAATTAAATCAGTATGTCCTCAAACTAGCATTTTAAATTGCTACCATATTTGACAAGTTTTGTAAGGATACTCAGCCTTGGCAACAACAAGCACCTTTAGGTAGCAATAAAATAGAATAAAAAGGCTGTTCATTGTTGTTCGATCCTTTTTGTTGTTGCTAGCCTTGCTCAGGTGTTCTCCAAAATGCCACATCTGCATCTGTCAAGAAAAGATCAATTTCAGATACTAGCACTATTTGACAACTTGATAGTGTTGAAGTGTGCAGCAATACCATGTGGGTTAGAAAGAAGTAATATATCTGTCTGTGAGGTTTGCAAAGCCATGGTGCAGACATAATGCTATCCAAACACATATTCTTCCTCCTATCTTGGCTGGGCATTTTCTTCTCACTTTCAGTTTTGGAGCTAAGTAGGAAAACTATGGCTAGCAGAGGCTAATGCAAATATAATTCTAACAAAATAGCATGGTACGAAGGGAGCACCTTCCTGAATGGTTCTCTTAAGTTTGGTTAGGAGATCAGGCAGCACCAAGCCAAAAAAAGAAGGCCTTGCAGATGCTTCTAGTTTTCCCATAAAAATTCCATGGCCTTAAATATACAGGTGGTCATTCCTAAACTCTTCAGAAGGAGAGGGTGCCTTGCTCTTGACTGCAAGAGAAACAGTCCTATTGCAATTCTTTCTTCAGAGCGTTGAAACACAAAATTGCAATGAAACCCAAATCCTAACACCATTTCAATGCAATTGAGTTCATTCAAATATGACATTTCAGAATTACAAGTAGTTTAATGGCTTCTGGTTATTTGCTGGTGATAATGTACAAAATATTTGTACAAAGCAATTTTTAAAAAAAATCTTAACTCCCACTACTCACAATTTCCTTTTGGTACTTGTTCCACTGAAGCCAATTTTAGTAAGTTGAGTTTGCCACAAATCTTCCATACAGATGATAAGCCAGATTCTGATACCCTATGTTTATAATGCATCTTTGTAATTTACAACCTTCATGCGGTATTCAGTATAAGAGGGGTCAAGGCCAGAAAGTGTTGTGGCCATCTTATTTCTGTAAGCAGAAGCAATCTACATTTCTAGCATATCTCATTATTTATTTTTGATTCTGTGAGTTTTGTTGTTAATTTTCAGCAATTTAGTTTTGTATTTAAACTCTCTGAAAGCAGACCTTGGATGATTGGTTGAAATGTATATCTATATCTATCTATATATATAGTCACACACTTGACCTGATCCAGCAAGATCACATAGAGCTGTTTGTGCACAAGTCCTGATTTCTGCCCCTCTAGATCTGATTCTGTATGTGCAGGGTATGGTGGAAGAAAAAGGCCAAACTCCATGCACCTTCCAGACCTTGCTGGCATTATCAGCTTGCCTTAGTTCCATCTGGAGGCTGAATCGAGGTACTTTCCTTCTCCTCCTGCTGCGTCTTGACAGGGGATCAGTGGTCTGGTCAGGCCAGGCCACTCATCTGATCATGGGTTCAGTGTTAGAGAGGGAGATCTTTACAGGCATGGAGTCTAGCACAGAATCCTGTACATGAAAAGCTCTGGATTAAGGAATGTGTGTGTATATATGTGTGTTTGGGTATCTCTGCATGTGTGCATGCATATGCACAGGTACATGCACACATCATATATATATATATACACAGATATATATAATATAATGACACGTCGGGTTTTAAAAAATGTTTTATTATTATTGGGTTATCTTTTATTTTGGCATACTACATGCAGTGCTTTAACCAATGTCCATTTGGCTAATGTAATTAAAGTTGTTAATTTATATGAGTACATTTCAATTATGTCATTGTTTTCTTAATATTTATTGTGTAGAAGGACTGGTAATTTTTTATTATTATTTACAGTATGTTTTAAAAGTAACAGTTTGATATGTTCTCCTTCTTGTTTGTGTTAGGAGTTATTTATTTTCATAGCATTCCGTCTGATATTTTATACCTGGAAGGCATGCAATCTATACTTTGTACAGTTAGCAAGAAATTTTCATCAACTCCCAGTAGTTTCTTAAATAAATAAACTACATGTTTGGAAAAAAGAGGGTTTTTTTTTGGTAAACTTTCTACATTTTAATTGGTTTGACAAGAGTAATTCCATGCACTTATTGTCAGACCGATATGTTCCTCTTGTGTTTGTAAGAGGACCAAACCTCCTCTTGGCCCAGATGAGCTATCCTTCAAGCAAAGCAATGCCAGGGGCAAATTTCCTCCACTGAAACTCCAGGTGACATAATAGAAAAAGCAGAAAGTGTCCAAAAACCCATTCTGTGTATCTGCCTCTGTAATGTAAATAGCAGAGCAACAGGGATGCTGGTGGTTCTGCATTTTGCATAAAGTTGATATGTTTGAGATGGTGGGTCAGCAAAGATTTGCTCTTGTTCATCTTTTTTTTTTTTACATTGCTCTTTCCTAAACAACAACAGCAAAACCACAAGTGAAATAAATAAAGGGAGTTTCACCTAGCAATGTGTAATTGTCCCTTCATATATCTCCCTGATGCAGAGATTGGACAGCTTCTGAACTGGACTAGGATGAAATGTTCAGATCAACTGGGTTTTGAAAACTGACCAAAAAATGGGCTGTACCCTTTACAGTTGTTCACCATTCTGGATATGAATTGCCCTGACTTCCATTTCAATATGTTTATGTTTCCCTATCCTCCTGACCAACATAGGTTGTGTTTACATGACAGTTCCAACATGCATCCAGATCATAACAATACTTTTCCCTTTTCAGTTTTAATGAGCTCTTATTTGAACTGATGACACATCTCACAAGAATGAACACAACTGAATGAATACTCTGCACAGAGGGGAATTGATCTCAATGCCCTAAGTGTGCCCTTCCAACGCAATGATTTTATGCTGGGGTCCTCAGACTCTTTGGATCTGTGGGCATATAAGGGGAATTTGAGAAACTGCTGCAGGCACCACCACAAAGTGGCTCCCACAGAGGGACTCTACTATCATAGAATAGTCGAGTTGGAAGGGGCCATGAAGGTCACTGAGTCCAACCCCCTGCTGTTGCAGGACACCACGTTACACCATCCTACTCAGATGGCTGTCCAGTTTCTTTTTGAATGTCTTTAGTATGGGAGAGCCCACCACCTCTCTAGGCAGCTGGTTACACTGTTGTATTGCTCTGACAGTGAGGAAGTTTTTCCTGATGTCCAGCCTGAACCTGGGTTGTTGCAACTTGAACTGATTATTTTTGCGTCACTCTGGTATCAGCAAGAAGAGAGCTTGACCTTCCTCTTTGTAACAGCCTTTGAGACACTTATAGAGGGATATCATGTCCCCCCTCAGTCTTCCCTTCTCATGTGGGTGGATGTGGGTAGTCGCAGAACCTAGGCTGCTCTAGGAACCTGGCTAGTCAAGGGATGACTCAAGAAACAGTGCTGAGAAACTGAGAAAAGGAAGGATCTGAATGAAGTCAACCCACATATTTGTCTTCACAGAAACACCATAAAATACCAATTTCACAGACAGCAAAGTAGTAAGGCATAGAGATAGGTCATCTCTCATCAGGGATCCAGTCTCTCTTTCTCTATTCCCCTCCAGTCAGTTCCTGCCTTCAATCTGTCCCTTCATATCTAATGTTGAAACTCCACATGCTGATTCAGTCCCACTCAGTGGGACTTCTGAGTAGCCATGCATAGGATGGTTTTGCCTATCCTACACATGTACACATATATAGGTTTCTAGC